AGCTTATATTTATTGATATAGCTTAAATAATTAACCTAGGGGCCTAAAAAAAGCCATGTGGTTTCTAGTAGGCTCCTAGCCCATTTCTTATATATATCTATTCCTTGTAAATGTAATATTTTGGGTGAAAAATATAAAAAAAAACAACTCGGCGCAACTATAAGGCGGGTTTATGGCAAGAAGACAAGAAGTTTTGGGGAAAATGATAGGGCATGCCCAGTGATTACTAGCATATGACCGCCAGCTTCGCTACTACTTTACAGATACATGTATACTTCATGACAAATGATCGACATGCTTGCCGCGTTTATGGTCAGTGACAGTGGTTGATAATTGATATACTATAACTTCCTTTTGCTTTGTGTCAAAATTTTCAATACACTGCAGTAAGCAAATACTAATTACGAGTAGACAATCCTGTAGTTCAGTTTAGTTTAGTTTAGTTTAGTTTAAATTAGTTTATAGTTTATTTATACTTATATACTGACATACTGCATTATTGACGGTTCTTGCAGCTTTAGGTCTATTTACCAGCTTTTTTGCGATACAAATTACCGATTAATAGAAGAACATATAAGTGATATAACATCAATGTAAAGTGCAAATGTGGATAGTAAGGTATTTTGTTGTGGCGGTATTTTGTTGTACAAGTCTTGTCAAATAGCCGTAGTGTAGCTTATGTGGACTACATTTTTTGATGTAGTTGTATACCGAACTACAAAAAACTTTGTAATGTGACCAGCCTTAGTTTGCTCTTAGTTAGACGCCCTTGTCGGGATTGTTTGGAAAATTGAGAAAACGTGGTGAAATTAAGGTTTAAGGTTAATAAAGAACAGTGTAAGTAACAGAGCATTGTGGGTGAGAACAGAAAGTCACTTGTCTGTTCTTAAACTTACTTATAGGTCTTGAAAAGTTACCGGTCATTATAATAGCAGAAAGTGAAGATGGTAGGAATAACTTACCCCAAATTGTACCCCCTGACTACGTTCAACAAGCAGTAAGGTGACCAAAATGAAGAAAACTGCAAAGTTACAACGATTCATGTCTTGGATGCAGTGTTTCAACCACTTATATAATCAATTAAGCAAGAATCTGGTATCTCCTCGGTGTCTTAATTCAACGAGCACCAAACAATTGTGACTACGAAATGCCACTGATCTATGATCATTTAATGTCTATGTTGTCTTCTGGTATTGCAATTATAGGCTTCAGCAACTTACTTGAGGAAGAACTGGATACGTCATAGTACGCAAACAAAATTTGTTTGAGTCATAATCTGTCAAGATGTGATTGGCTGTAAGCCTGGGAAACTTCAAGAACCTTTGTTTGATGTTGAACTGTACCTCACCACAGGCGGCCTAATTTCAGGGTGGATGATCAGGAGTTGCGGGTTTTAACGGCTATACTCAACCAAAAATATTTTAAATACATTCTTAAATTATTCAAATAACAACACTTTAACAATAATATATAGTTGACATGATAGCATAATGCCTTTAAATTTACGTACATTCTTTAATTATTCCATGAGCTCATTTAGAGCGGTTTATGCAACCTTTTCTGTGGCCTATATGTTGTGTTGCTCGTCATTATCATAAAGGCTCATCACTAGCGGCCCGACCACGTCGCCTTCAAAGTCAAATATCTCCGCTCAAACTTGTCGTACGGCAAAACAAATTCGATCAGATCTTTTCACAACGGTTTCTCTTTTTAAAGTGAATATGATTTGACCTAGCTCGGGCAAATTTAGCGACGAACGGAGCCAAAATCTCTCTCAATTTCGGCTATTTTCATAATAATTCGCTCAGGCGTGGTAAACAATACCTGCCTTAAGGTCCAGTTACACGTGCGATTTTTTTCTCGCGCCGGCAACGCAACGGGTTAAATTTCATTGCGTTACTCGCGCGAGTGATGAAATTGCCCGTGTAACATATCTGGCGCGGTAATGCAATTGCAACCCGATATTCTCGGCAATCGTTGCG